TTCTGACTGGTGTTTGTCAAAACCTCACCATCATACGAACACTTTCTTTGCTTTATGACTTTCATAGCCGCACTTGTTTCATTGCGCTCATTGCAGCGCTTCATTCACTCCTGTGTTATAGCTTGTATTTAATATTAAGAATATTTTGAGTATTGCACTTTTATATCTTATTATACAGGATTTATATAGCGCCAACAGTTTGCCCAGCGCTTTACAATATAACGGGAAAGAATATAGCAACGATACAGTTCAATACAGGAGGGATAGGAGGGCCCTGCTCCTTGGAGCTTACAATCTAGGAGGGAGGGGCTAGTGGTACAAAAAGGTAGTAACTGTGGGGGATGGACTGGTTGGAAGAGTAGAAGATTCCATTTTTAGCTGAGGGCAGGATAGGCTTCCCTGAAGAGATAGGTTTTCAGAGATCGCCTAAAAGTGAGCAGAGTAGGCGATAGTCTGATAAATTGGGGTAGAGAGTTCCAGAGGATGGGGGAAGCTCTGGAGATGAGCATGGGAGGAGGAGACAAAGGAGCTAGAGAGCAGAAGGTCATGCGAGAAGCGGAGAGTACGGTTTGGGTGATATTTGGAGACAAGATCATTGATGATCTTTCGATTAGGTCAGCAGCAAATGCACTAAAAAGGAACCTTATATAAAACAAAACAAAAATTAGTGCAGCGCTGAAAAAAAAAAATTTTTTAGTGCATTTGCTGCTGACCCACCAAAACCGCCTTACTCAAAACTGTCCAACGACCTTCTAACCGCCAAAGCTAATGGCCACTATTCAGTGCTCCTACTCCTTGACCTCTCTGCAGCCTTCGACACAGTCGACCACCCCCCTCCTCAAAAAACTACACTCCCTCGGCCTCAGAGATTCTGCTCTCTCCTGGCTCTCATCCTACCTGTCACAACGCTCCTCCAGCGTTACCTATAATGCTACCACCTCCCCCTCACTCCCCCTCTCTGTTGGGGGTCCCTCAAGGCTCTGTCCTTGGGCCCCTTCTCCTCTCCATCTACACCTCCTCCCTTGGCCAACTCATACACTCTCACGGCTTCAACTACCACCTCTATGCCGACGACACACAAATCTATCTCTAAACCCCCCACCTCACCCCCTCGGTCTCAGCCCGAATCACACACCTACTGAGCGACATATCAGATTGGATGTCGCTCCACTTCCTTAAACTGAACCTCTCCAAAACCGAGTTTCTTGTCTTCCCCCCCCAGCCCGGACCCCACCCCCCATTGACGTCTCCATCACATCCAACAACGCCAATATCAAACCTGCCCTGCAGGCCAGAGTACTGGTGTCATTCTGGACTCCAACCTATCCTTCCAGCCCCAAGTCCAATCTTTAACAAACTCGTGCAGACTCCACCTCCGCAACATCGCCAAAATATACGCACGTTCCTAACCCCAGAAACCACTAAACAGCTCATCCACTCCCTCATCATATCACGACTCGACTACTGCAACTCCCTCCTCACTGGCCTGCCTCGCCGCTGGCTATCCCCGCTTCAGTCCATCCTAAATACGGCTGCCAGACTCATTCACCTTTCCAACCACTCCATTTCTGCCACCTCCCTCTGCCAATCCCTCCACTGGCTTCCGATTGCGCAACGGATCAAATTCAAAATCCTAACATTGACGTACAAAGCTGTCCACCATACTGCCCCGAACTACATCACTGACCTAATATCCAAGTACCGCCCAGCACGCACACTCCGCTCCTCACAAGACCTCCTTCTCTGTAGTTCCCTGGTCTCCTCCTCCCATGCCCGCCTCCAGGACTTCTCCAGGGTGTCACCCATCCTCTGGAACTCCCTGCCCCAACCCATCAGATTATCACCTACTCTCCTCTCGGCGCACCCTGAAAACCCATCTCTTCAGGGAAGCCTACCCTACCCCCTGCTAACTTGACCGACCTCCTCCACTCTTCCTACCACTCCATCCCCCACAGCTATCTCCTCCTGTACCACTATCCCCTCCCTCCTAGATTGTAAGCTCGAAAGAGCAGGGCCCTCGATCCCCTCATGTTTTGCATTGTATTGGTATTGTTCTGTCACATGTTCTGTCCCCCTTTGTAATGTACAGCGCTGAGCGAACTATTGGCGCTTTATAAATACTGTATAATAATAATAATTTGGGGCAGAGTTATAAATGACTTTATACGTTATTGTTAATATTTTGAATTTTATCCGTTGGGCAATAGGAAGCCAGTGGAGGGATTGGCAGAGAGGGGTGGCAGATACAGAACGGTTAGTAAGGTGGATGAGTCTGGCTGCAGCATTCATGATAGACTGAAGAGGGGATAGCCTGCGATGAGGTAGGCCATATATTAATTTTTTTTCAGCGCTGCACTAATTTTTGTTTATGTTTTATATAAGGTTCCTTTTTAGTGCATTTGCTGCTGACCTAATCAGAGTCTTGAGCGCTCTCTGTTCTTGTATTCAATATTTAATGTGATCAGCTGTGCAGAGCAATACAAAGCAACATGCTGGTGCTGACAGGGGAGAGATCTGTATTGTTTACACACAGACCTCTCCCCCTTCAGTGCTACTTGGCAATTACCGGGTGCAGGCAGGCAGGCAGGCAATCGCCGGCTGGGACCTGGTGATCAACAGCAGAGGCCGCTAATGGCAGCATGGGTAGGACATGTGCACACCACTACCCGGAAATGCAAAAATCACACATACACACACGATTTTGCGCAGCCCTGCAGCACTATTTCTGCTATAGGGCGGTGGGAAAGCGGTTAAACTCATGGTTGCGTGTGGTAAAAACACTTGGTGTAATATTGTAAGGCTGTGCCACGTTAAACTTGAATTGTCTATTTGTAATCAGCATTGCTCTTTGTCCCGCCTAAAGCCTGTGCTAGGACGTCACAGCTGCTAGGCCTAGCTCGGTGTCCAGACCAAGCTAGGAGGTCACGTGTTCCGCTGTTTGCCGGTAATTGTTCGTATATAAGTGTGCAACGTGAGGCGTTGAGCACATGAGCTCATTGTTCCCTATACCTACGACACCCTACCAATGATTTCATACACAGGGTCAGCCCGCCCTCTTCCTCCTAAACCCACCGCAGTAATTCACACTACCCGTACACAAACCTCTTTCACTAGCCGTCAGTTGTTAGGCGAATCTAATACAGATATCGGCATTCAGTTCTCCTCAGCGGATCTTGGGGCCTTCCTCTGCACGCACCAAACTCCTTCCGTCCAGAGCCAGGCCTCGTTCCTGAGAGCGCTCGGCAAGATCACATGACCTACCAAGATTCAAGCCTCATTCAGGAAGCTCGCCATGTGATTGGAGCACATGTCCTAGAACGAAGGCTGGCTCAGCGAAGGTCATGTGATCTGTGGAGGGGCACCGGAACGAGGCTTGGCTCACGGAAGGAAGGGGTGGCGGATACAAGATCCAGTGAGAAGGATTGAATGGTGATAACCATAATAGGTTCGTGTAACAGCCGACGGCTAGTGAAAGGAGGTTTGTGTACAGGTATTGTGATCTACTGCTGTAGGTTTAGGAGCAAGAGAGCTGCTGCTAGCCTTGTGTGTGTTCTGTTATCAGTGAGGCGCCCTGTTTGTCTGGGTATAGGGAACAATGAGCTCGTACTGCCCATGACAACCAGCAAACTGTACACTGTTTCATCAGGGACTGTAGTCATCAGCGGTTCTAGAAGGATCTGCAACTGCCTAAGCTGGCCATACTTAAAAGTGTTACTAAACCCAGGACCCTGCATTCACTATATCTGGTATTCCACAGTACACAGAAATGCAATTATTTTAGTAAATATAAACTGCTAAATACCTTTTCTCATCAGCAGTAAGTCTTGTGACTTCTATCAGTGTCCAGCCAAGCACTGGCTAATCTTGTAGGAGGAGTTTTCATTCTCCTCTGACTGTCCAATGAGGCTGAATGACTCCGGTGTGGACAGTGCTGATCACATGCACCCTCCCTAAAAAAAAAAAAACTCTAGCAATCCACATTAAACTGAGCATGTGCTGACTTGCCACTGCTGCTGTGTACTATGATAGGTGGATTGGGGGCAGTAAAAAAAAGGGGAGGATCAGAGAAGACAGGATCAAACAGCCTTTTTACACAATGCAGAGGATTAACCCCTTAGGTTCCACAGTGAGTATAACAAGCATGCTTTACTGCATATACAGACTGCTTTTACTGTTGTGGGTTTAGTAACTTTAATGAGCACACATCTGGTCTCCCACAGAACATGGAAATGCAATTATTTTAGTAAAAACTGCTAAATACCTTTTCTCATCAGCTGTATATAGCAGTCTTGTGACTTCTATCAGTGTCTGGCTGAGCACTGGTTAATCTTGTAGGATGAATTTTTATTCTGCTCTAGGAGAATGCAGTACCCCTGACCTCTGTCTGCACAGTGCTGATTGGCTCTGTGCTGATCACATGCACTCTCCCAGGAAAATACATAGCAATAAGCACTAAACTGAGCATGTGCAGAGCATCTCCAAGTGCTCTGTACTATCAGCAGATGGACTGGTAGTATCACATGCAGAACACCCCCCAGAAACATAATTTTGCTTGTGTGATTGGCTCACTGAGTTCCCAGAAGTCTGCAATAAGATACAAGTCAGATTTCAGGCATCAATTGCAACAAAAATTTAATTTTTTGTGAGATACCCCCAATATGAGATTACGCCTAAAGGATGCACACCCTGCAATTTTCCTCATTAGAGGAAAGCAGGTGCAGCAGCTGACTGATACTTTTCTGGGGCAACCCAAAGTTTGGGATTTTAGTTTACTTTTAATGGTGATGGTAAACAGGACAAATAGGGTGAATCTCCTTAATGAGTGCACAGACAGCAATGCCATCTGACTGGTTCCAATCCCTCTCCCCTCTATCCAAAACTAAATAAAAGTTTTTCCTTTTGTTTTAATTTAAGAAAACATTTTAACATCTGTGTTCTCTCACACTGTACCATTCTAACTTCTTTTTCTAGATAAGACTTAACGCATTAGACACTTGAAAATGGCGTGCAAATGGATAACACAGGAGACTTTTGATGCCGTTGTACAGGAAAATGTGGTAGAATTTGATATGGAACCAGAAGAAGCTTTGAATGAAGCTATTCAACAGTTTGAATCACAAGGTACCAGACAGCTGAATATAAAGATTTGGTCTGAATTGTAAATGGTGTTTTCAGTATTTACTCTTTGCAGCTAATTCCTTATGTCTGCACTTACTAATGTTGATCGGTTTAAGTGATAGTACAAGCTGGTTTGTTTTTTTCTTTAAATAACAAACGTTTTACTTACCTGCTCTGTTCGATCCCCCTCTTCAAGGGTACCCCGCTGGCGCTCCTGGTTCCTATTTTTCTCCGTGTGCCACCATAGGAAGCTGCTTCCTATGGTGGCACACATGGCGGCTTGAGTCTGAGCCAGGCTCTGCGCGTCTTTTGACACACACATTGCTGCTTGGCCCCATCCTCCACTCCTTCCGCACAAGATTTGATTGACAGCAGCAGGAGACAAAATTTAGGGATTTTCTTTCACTTTTGTTAATATCGTAAACATGACAAATAGAGAGGGTGAATATACGTAATAGAAAAATAGACAGCAATAAAAAACCAGGTGCTCTATTCTCTCTCCACTTCATCCAAAACTATGCATTAAGGTAAATAACCTTCTGTGTGCAGCGCTCCCCATTATACTTACCTTAGCCCAGTGTTTCTCAATTCCAGTCCTCATGGATCCCCAACAGGTCATGTTTTCAGGATTTCCATTATTTTGCACAGGTGATTTGATCAGTTTCACTGCCTTAGTAATTACCACAGCTGTTTCATCTGAGGGAAATCCTGAAAACATGACCTGTTGGGGTCCATGAGGACTGGAGTTGAGAAACACTGCCTTAGCCCAATCTTGATGTAGTGCCGTGCTTGAGAGCAGCAGCTCTCTCCCTCCTCACAGGACCAGTTGATAGCAGGAGCACTGGCAGGGGACACAAGAAGAGGAGGGTCGGGGCTGCTCTGTTTAAGCCATTGCACACAGCAGGTAAGTATAACTTGTTTGTTATTTAAAAAAAACAGACACTTCACAATCACATTAAAGTGATACTAAACACACACTCTAATTTACATTATCCATTCTCTTTCTGTGTGTGGATGATGGCACTGCAAGTATTCTAACACAAAAAAAACAAAACAAATAAGTCCCTATTTCTTAATTGATATACAGCTGTTACATGACCAATTTCTTTCCCAGCCTGTCTGCAGTCAAACAGTGCAAGAGGAGCTTCTATTCCTCTGCTGCTAGTCACATGTTCAAGATAAAGAACAGCCTTTGGGATAGAGAGTAAAAATAATTAATATCAATAAACTGTTTTTCAATTGTCATACAAATATATATTTGAAATGAAAGCATTATTATTTTTTGGCATTAACATGCTGTGGACGGATTTCTGCCAGTTACAGGCTGTGTCTTGCCCCTCCAGCCTGTGTCTTGGAATAACAGGAAGATTAAACCTCCATCAATCAAGATGTAATGTCCCACCCCCATTGTGTTTAGCTGGTTAGTGGGCATGGAGGAGGAGGGAGGAAGTGGGCTGTCATTTACCACTGTGTATACACCCACACGTGTGACTCTGTAGTCACATGGGCTGCTAAGATGTGATAAAGAGGAAATGATCAGCATAGAAACAAACTGCTCTGCAAATTCCACAGCTGCATTGGGGAGACAGAGAACAGCAGGATCAACCAGGTTTTTTTGTAGAATACAGAAAATGAATCCCATACTGAATGAGTATAAACTACATGTAATACGGCATTTATTGATAGTTTTTAATGATGTGGGTTTAGTCACAGTTTAATTACACTTAAACTGACTGCATTATTGATTAAAAGTATATGTGCTGACATGAAGCATGCTGATAGGAAGAGGAAGGAGAATGACAGAGCCATGAGTTCATCACTTTGCTGCTTCTCCATTCACTATCCAGTCACAATCTGGGACTGCTCCATGGTGACCTGGGCCCAGACAAAGTGGGCAGGCCATCAGTGAGGGTATCAAGTGGCAGAAAAAATTTCTTTAGAGGAAATCTCAGGGTTGAAGATGAATAATGTCACAAAAGTTGTTTTTTTTACCTTTTTATTGGGCAATTTATTTTTATCGTATTTTTGGATGAAGCTTTGCTTTAATATTCATTTAATTTTTCAAAATGCATTAACTGATTTTCAAAATGGTATTTTTTTCTTTGGTTAATTAGGTGTTGACCTGACAAACATAATTAAGGAAGTTCGTAAAAAAAATGATGATAGTGGGGCTGCCCCAGGCCATGACATTCTGCAGGTAGGTTTGCTTTTATTTTGAGAACATGGATGGGAAGGCACTGCACTGCAATTGGCTTTTTAAACCCAATCTGCAGCCAAAAATCTTTGCAGTGTCTGGTTTTTTTTTTTTTAATGGAATGGGGAAAGGATGGAACCCCTGTCCAGTTGATGTTGGTGTTTCAATCTTGAGGAGGTTTCCCTTTACTTCCCAGTGACAGGAAGACAGTGAGACAAGAAGGGAAATCTCTTCTTTTTTTTGCTTTAAGAATGTTCTAAATGCATGGACAATCAAACAAATTAAGGTTTATTAAGTATAGATCAGTTGTTTTCTTTTATTTTTTTATTGCAGACATTGGACTCATTGAGACAGGCTGTGGATTCTGGGTCTACAAGCAGTTTCTCTGAAATTCTTATTCAGTTTGGGGATCAGTGTAAACAGGGTATGGGGCATCGGTACCTAGCAGGACAGAAGTTTGCCTATCCAGTGGTTCTTGAAGCCTGGAAACTTTCTGAGGATGACAGGGAAGCACTACTGAACGTTCTTTATGCTATGTCATCTCTCACTGATGGGCAGCCTGATTTGTTCGAAGGTGTTGGACAGGAGCTGTTAATTCGTAATTTAGAGAATTTTTCACATGATGCTGAGGTGACCTTAATGGCAATCCGTTTAACTCGGCACACATGTCTGAAACATGAGCAGAATCGACAAGACCTTGTTAAAGTGGGTATTTTACGACACCTTACAGAAGCCATATCAAACCATGGAGCAGATCCAGACGTGGTGCGTGAAGCTTGCTCTGCTTTGAGGATTATGACCTTTGATGATGACATTAGAGTTCCATTTGGACATGCACATGATCATGCGAAGATGATTGTTTTGGAGAATGGAGGCCTGAAACTGTTGATAGAAGCTGCAAAAGGTATGCATTATATTTTGTTCTGCTTGTGTTTCAGAAACAAAGGCTTTTTTAAAGATTATCTAAACCCAAGATCAAGAATTAAATATAACTCAGCTCACCAGTCCCTAAGTGTATTAGCTGTATTCATTTTCTTTTTTTCATGTTTTTAACCTTTATTTCACCAGTTGATCCTGCCAGTAACACATTCCTGTCCTAGTTTGAAAGCACTTACTTGCCTCCATGCTCTATCTATAGAAGAACAGCAATGACACCGTAAGACAAAGTGTTAAACTACAGAACATATTCCACTTTTTTCTCTTCTTCAAACCATAGGAGGGAGTGTTTTGTAGTACATAGAGATATCTGTAAACAATGTTAACTGATATGGCTTTGTTCATAGGGGCATACTTATGTATATATCTGTGCAAAGGGCTGTGTTTGCCTGCACGGGATGCAGAAATATCTTATGCATCTGCATGCATGGAGTCCCATACACACATCCTCTGCTCCCAGTTTGACATCTGTGCCAGTGCATGTCCCTGAACATAGACAGTGTGCTGGTTTTAACATACCAAGAAATTAGACACTACCAAATTGCAAGTGACGGTTGAAACTAAGATAGTTGCTTGTAATTACCAGACCCTCTATAGCCATCCTAAGGGTCCATCCACACCCCAATCTGGTGCATTGTGTTTAACACACTCCATTTCTTTGCATATATAATATATTTGCATATAATATATCACATTTGTGTGCTTGAAAGGTGCCTATATGGATCTATTGCATTCTCTAGATTGTGTTATAGGGGGCACATAGGATCTTCAACATATACCATGGATATAAAAAGTCTAAACACCCCTGTTAAAATGTCACGTTTCTGTGATGTAAAAAAGTGAGACAAAGATATTTCATTTCAGAACTTTTTCCACCTTTATTGTGACCTGCAGGGGTGTAGACATTTTTTTAAAACTGCTTGTCCAGGGACTAAATTGGTGGTACCCCAATCTACTTGTCCAGATAAAAAAAATAAATAAATTTTTACCCAAAACTGTATTTAAATCGGAGGTGATATTAGGAATGTCTGGGGGTTTTAAAAACAAAAGGGGCTTTATGGTGCCCTAAACGTGTAATATTTTTAACATTGCACTGTTTATCTCTTCCCCTCCTTGTCTGTCTTCAGCACTGCACCCGGGGACTAACAGGGAGGGGAGAGACATTGCAGTGTAATGAGCACCGATTGGCTGCTCCTCAGGAAAGGGTGGGTCAGGGCTTATCTTTTATCCCTTTCGCTGCCAGAGCCATTTTTGCATTTTTTGCACAAGTTTAAAAATCGTTTTAGGCCTGAAGATTACAAAATCCCCCAAACATTATATATTTTCTGAAAGCAGAGACCCTAGAGAATAAAATAGTGGTAGTTCCAATTTTTTGTGTCCCATGATATTACCGCAAAAAATGTCAGTAAAAAATACAAATAAGTTAATTTTAGGGCACAAAATAAGCAATAAATTACCCTATTTTTTCGTAAAATATAAAATATGAGGTTGCAGCGAGTATATGGATATCCAACATGTCAAAACTTAAATTTGTGTGAGCTCATGAAATGGCGCAGAATTTCAGCACCTATATTTTCTATAGGTCGACACTTTTAAAGCTCCTTATAGTCATCAATTTAGCATTACGGAGGAGGTATGGTGCTAGAATTATTGCTCTCATTCTGGCGTGCGCGGCGATATGTGATATGTGTATCGTAATGAATGTTTTTATGCATATGCGCCCCAGTGCATGCTTTTACATTTGTACATGCGTATATGTAGGGGTGGGGGGGCCTCAAATATTTTTTGGGGGGTGTGGTATGTGCTTGGGTGTAACTTTTTCATTTTTTACAATAAAAAAACTTTTTGGGGTTTTTTAACTTTTTTTTTTTTTTCACCACATAGAGGATAAAGTCCCCTATGTGATGATTTTTTTGGTGACAGGTTCTCTTTATTGAGGCATCTAGGGTCTAAAAGACCCTGCATGTCTCCCTTGTGCTCCACTGAATTGTAATGTGGTGCACATCACACTGCATTGCATTCTTTCCCAGCTTCCATGGCCAGGAATCTCTTACCGGGGACCCAGAAGTGACATCATAACGTCAGGACAAGAAGGGGAGCAGGACATGTTCGTTCGCCTCCCTCCCCTGTAGCCAACGGTAGTGAGCCATTCCTGGGCCTGCAGATGGGCAACCGGAGCCCAGCCCAGGAGACCTCGGGGGGATGGGGGGGGGAGAGAGGCTGGCACTGTGTGGAAGCAATTGGGCAGGCAGCGCTGCTGCCCAAATGCTTCCACCTGACAGGTGAGCCTACTGCATGCCCACAGCAGGGTTAAAGATAGGAAAAAACTACCTGCCCCGACGCCCGGAACTACATGTCCCAGGCGTCGGGCGATAGGAATCGAATTGAAAAACAAACTTAAGTCTTTTAGGGGGGGGGTAGTAAACATAAAAAACTAAAATAATGTGGTTGCATAAGGGTTCACACCCTCTTATAACTGGGGTTGTAGCAGTGTTCAGAATTAAGCAATCATGCAAAATCATGTTAAATAGGAGTCATTATTTAAAGTGCCTCTGAATAACCCCAAATAAAGTTCAGCTGTTCTAGTAGGTTTTTCCTGACATTTTCTTAGTTGCATCCTACAGCAAAAGCCATGGTCCGTAGAGCGCTTCCAAATCATCAGAGGGATCTCATTGTTAAAAGGTATCAGTCAGGAGAAGGGTACAAAAGAATTTCCTAGGCATTATATATACCATGGAACACAGTGAAGACAGTCATCATCAAGTGGAGAAAATATGGCACAACAGTGACATTACTGAGAAACTGGATATCCCTCCAAAATTGATGAAAAGTTGAGAAGAAAACTGGTCTGGGAGGTACATGTGACAACAATCTCCTGTATTCTTCATATGTCTGTGCTATGGGATAGAGTGGCAAGACGGAAGCCTTTTCTTACAAATATAAAGATCCAAGCCTGGCTAAATTTTGCAAAACCACATCTGAAGTCTCCCAAAAGCATGTGGGGAAATGTATTCTGGTCTGATGAAACAAAAGTTGAACTTTTGGGCCATAATTCCAAAAGATATGTTTGGCACAAAAACAACATTGCACATCACCAAAAGAACACCATACCCACAGTGAAGCATGGTGGTGGCAGCATCATGCTTTGGTGCTGTTTTTCTTCAGCTGGAACTGGGGCCTTAGTCATGGTAAAGGGAATTATGAACAGTTCCAAATACCAGTCAATATTGGCACAAAACCTTCAGGCTTCTGCTAGAAAGCTGAACATGAAGAGGAACGTCATCTTTCAGCATCAAAATCAACAAAGGAATGGCTTCACCAGAAGATTATTAAAGTTTTGGAATGGCCCAGCCAGAGCCCAGACCTGAATCTGATCGAAAATCTGTGGCATGATCTAAAGATCACGCCACAGGAGATGCCCTCGCAATCTGACAGATTTGGAGTGTTTTTGCAAGGAAGAGTGGGCAAATATTGCCAAGTCAAGATGTGCCATGCTGATAGAAAAGGTTGATAGGGTGTGCACACTTATGCAACCATTTTATTTTAGTTTTTTATTTTTACTTCCCTCCACCTAAAAGATTTTAGTTTGTTGTACAGTTTATAGGTTACAATAAAGGTGGAAAAAGTTCTGAAATGATTTATGTTTGTCTATTTTTTTACATCACAAAAACCTGACATTTTAACGGGGGTGTGTAGACTTTTTTTTTTTTTTTATATCCACTGCACAGGGACCTGGACGTCATTGCGGGGTTCATTTTTGTTGAAGGCAGTTTCCCCATAAAGTGCATTCACATTTAGGATTCTTTTGTGGCGCTCATCTCCATGTGTTTTTTCCGTGTGACCTTTTTGTATTAACATCCTGAGGGGATTTATGGTTTCCAGAACACCTTACTCCTGAAGAAGCACACCTGCAAATTGCAGTGAGATACTGAAACTCTTACACAGCTTTTGACATCTGCTTTGATGATTTTAACACAACTAACCTGTTGTTGAGGTTGGGTCATATGGAATAAACTTTTGTATTTTTATATTAAACTGGAACTAAACCCATCGATTTGACACACTTTAATTCTAACTGTCACATTTGCTGGTGCTCTCAACTAAACTGCCAAACCATCAAATCGCTGGTGTCATTACTGATCACATGTGCAGCATCATGGCAGTTGAAGATCAAACAGAGGCTAATATGGTAGGTTCCTTGGCTGAAAAGAATAGGAAGGTTTAGTTCTGCTTTAAATAATGTCAGTTGGAATTTTTTGTGAGATAATTCACCTTCAAAATCCCGAATTTCTGTTGGCTGCCTTCAGATGGATTTGTTCTTTTCACCTGTTTCTGGGATGTGGTAATGGTTCCTAGTAAATCCCTGGCAAAACATTTTCTTACATTACCTGTTACTTGTCAGAGAGATTAAGCTGTTAGCAGAAGGCTGTGAGCTTCAGTGGTTCCTCATTGTAATGTTTTTACTTCTATTCAATAAATACATGTTGTGTAAATGTAAATGGAGTACATTTTTATCTAGTGAGTGCAAAATATCTTGCACTCTCAAATGCACTTGTAAACTTCATGCAAGATTTCTTGCCTGTGGAGTGTTCCACATATTGGAAGGAATTTGCAGAAAGCTGCTCTTCAGCTGGAATGATTATTGTTTTGTCTTCTAGCTTTTACAGATAATACTGGAGTACTAAGTGAACTATGTGCTACAGTTTCCCGCCTTTGTGTACGTAATGAGTTCTGTCAAGATGTTGTTGACCTGGGTGGTCTAAATTTCATGGTGGCTCTTCTAGCTGACTGCATCGATCATCAGGTAATTAGCAGACATTATCCTTTGTAACACAGGCAAGCCGCTTCCACCGAAAGACTTACTTTAGAGTTACATTCTGTAAACCCACACTTAGTGTATGTCTGGGCAATCACCCCCTTTGCTTTCTTTTTATGCTGGTCTTTTTATTGGACGCTTTTTTTTAGTTCATTGTTGATTCGTGGCAGCTGTTATCCCTTCCATAACAAACTATGAGCTTGTTTTGTACCACTTGAAGTTCAGGTCACTTACATATGGCCTTTGGGTAGCAAGTGGTAAGGGCTTCTTTTTCAGGGGCTGATATTTTGGTGTGTGTTCATTTCTTTTGGGGGTATATTGTTTATTTTATGTTGATAGGACCTTTTTTACGGTTGGGGTGTTAAAAGCACCTTTTAAAAAAGGGATCACAGCTCACTAGCTATCTCTGATCCTCCAGCAAGGTGTACAGGATAGCATGTCAGTTGTCCAGCAATGTACATAGCTGTACATAGTAGAGACTACCACTCTTGGAGAGAGCAGGGGAGCTTCTGATCCTTATGCCCCGTACACACTATCCGAAAATTTTCGTACGAGGACCGATCGTCCGATAATCGGATCATTAGTACACAGCTTTCAAGAGCCAATCACGACAATTCGTGCGACAATATCCGAAGGGACAAGTGTGAAAATTTTTCTCATACGATACCAGATTGTACGATTTTCGTTTAGTTAGTACAGTAGTCGTCCGAAAATATAATACAAATACAATACATGACATCACTTTTGAAATTCTATTCTTTCATAGGAGAATTTTCATATCTTTAGTAACCTTTTCACTTTCGATGTGAGACTAGCAGGTGAAAAAAAAAAACCGGGCGATTGTTCGTCCGATATTCTCATCATATGTACGGGGCTTAACTCTTAGTCAGCAGCAAGTGAATGCCACACTGCTCCATTGTTTAAAAGAAAAAAAAAAAAGCAATGTGTGCCTGAAACAACTTGCATTATATCACTCCAGTCCTATTTCTGTAGTAAAAATAACAGTAAGATTTATTGTAAAAAAAAGTAAAGCCAAATATAGTATGTGCTGTCACTGTTGTATGTTAGATTCACACTGTTCTGTAACACCATGGACAGTTTTAAGGAATCCCCCTCAAGCTTGTAATTTTAAAGGATTTGTGTATGTTTAATTTTGCCCTCAATCCTGTATGAAAAAGACGCTCTCCCCACTGTACAGTATGTAGAAAAAATATTTATTTGGCATCCGTACATATCCGCTCTGCAAGTGTCCAGCTTCCCAATCCTTTTCCTTGACAATAACTTGCCTTTTAGCCCTAAAAAAGCCAGATCATGTTAACATGTTTTGTTCCCATACACTTCAGTTGGGGGTCACCAAATTTCTAATAGGGTTTGCCAAACTCACAGTGAGAGCCTGAATGGATTTGCTCATCAGTATCTCAAACCCTTTTTTCAATAGCAGCTTCTCCAGTTTGGCTCAGTCTAAATCTGTTTTATCAGTTTGATATACTTGTGGAAGTGGGGACGCAAAGTTTTAAGACTGTCCAGTCTTGAGCTGCATATTTTCTCCTTTCAGCAGGATTCTAGGTCAGATTAGCAGGTAGCTGTAAAAATTAATTTGGCATTAGACCAGAATTTTTCTTCAGTGGTTGATGTACAAGTGGATTTCTGAAGCAGTTATTTTTTAATTGTGGCTATGAATATAATATACCTTCACAGGAAGATTACAGTTAGGGACTTCTAACATAGAGGAGATTGTGTGATCAGAACACAATGTCAGAGGCTTATCAAAATCAGTCATATTTTGTATTTTATATTGAGTCATCCGTAAAAATAAAAAGAAAAAGTGTTTTAAATATGTAGAGTTGCCATGTTTGAAATTGTGATGATGTTTGCTCCTTTTTCTAAAAAGCAGACTAAAATACTGTGGTATGGATGACCAGAATCCTTTCATTGTATAGCTTCCTCCCCTAAGTCTTGCATGGAACCCCATTGAATTCAGATGATCTGTTTTGTTGTCTGATCATTTAACCTTCCTGCCCCTAAAAAACATGATATACATAATAAGATAGATGTAAATGTGGATATCTGTATAAATGACTGGTGTTGTCAAATCCTCTTTTCTCAGGAGCTTGTAAAGCAGGTATTGAGTGCAATCAAGGCAATTGCTGGCAATGACGACGTGAAAGATGCAATAGTCAGTTCTGGAGGGACAGACCTGATTGTTCTTGCGATGTCCAGACACCTCTCTAACATTCTGGTAAAAATTAATAGAAATCAACAGATTTGGAATCCTTTAGTTTATAATTCTCTTTTTACTGCCTGTGAGAGCTGGGGGGAAATCTAAGTATTCATACCTTAGCAGCCAACTGGAGTCATCCTTTCATTTGCAGCCCTGAACACCATACAACAGGACAACTGTTCAAGTAGATCATTAGTATACTTTAAAGCTCAAAATCACCAATCCTCAGGATCTTAAAAAAATTAAAAAGCAGTTGTGGCTTTAACGCCCAACCAACTGCACATATGCGTCCATTGTAGCCTGAGGTTGTGTGCTGAGAGTGCCTCTCCCAGCACACTGGAACCCATCCTGCTGATTCCTGAGCAGTATCCAGAATGGTGACAGCTTGTTCGATCATCTGACCTCTGTGAGCTTCAGCCATAGTGATCACATGAAACAGAAGTAACACATTAAGGGGTTGAACTTCTATATTTTCTTATAATAAATATTAATATTGTCTCATTCCTAAATTAGTGATCTAGTAGTTCATCATGAGATAAAATAGCAGTCACTGTGGAGTGACTGAAAACACTTTGGGTTACCTTTTTAACAAGATTTTCACCAAACATTCCCTAGTGGTAAGTTAATCACTGCAGCTGCTGGAGTTGAGACCAGAAAGACAAGTGTTGGAGCTCCGTAAGTATGACATAAGTTGCGGTCTGTAAAAATGTCAGCTCTGCAGGCTGATCTGAAAAAAATAATAAATGCTATTTTTTTCTGGAAAACTATGTGCATTTATCATTTTTTTCTGAAAAGTAAACTTAGTCTTTATGCGACACAGGCATTGGTGAGTTTTAATATCTTCTTTCCAATTTGTATGTTCCTTAAATGACTAAAAGCATAAGGCTAATTTGAGATAAGACAACTGAATGGATGATATAAGATGTGCTTTCTCCCTGCAGGTCTGTGAACAGGGCTGTGCAGCTCTTGCTATGTTAGCCCTACGTAAGCCTGAGAACTGTAAAGTTATTATGGAAGGAGGCGGAGCATTAACTGCTCTCCAAGCCATGAAGGCGCATCCTAATGATGCCAGTGTACAGGTAAGTGTAAATTCACCATTCCCTCATTGTTGCAGTCGAACTAAACAAAGAGTTTATGTTGTAGAAGTTTAAATTGTTTTTGTACTATTTTCCTAATTTACAGTCTAAGCGTAAATAAAATACTAGCTACTTAAAGTGGAACTACACTACTGCACCACAACAGAAAAATGCTATCTAATTCATTTTTAATATTCAAAGCAAGTCCCCTATCCATCCATGTCTCCAATGTCTCCATGCTTGTTTTTTGCTGAGAAATCACTCTGAAAAACACCCCCTGGCATTTCTGCCAGTGTCCATCTTGAGTAAGGGCAGATGGCACAAACCAGATTCAGTGTGTATACAGAGGGGGGGGGGGAGAGGGATGTATAGGGGGGAAACCAGGATATATTGGGGGGGGGGCAGGGCATGTCAAATCCCAGAAACCACGTCCTGGCACCTGGTCTTCCACCAAGCCCACTCACCGCCAGCACCAGGCACGAGCAGCTCCCATTGCCCGACGCCCCAGACATGCAGCTTACTCACAGCAGAGCCAAAATTTCTCTCTACCTCTCCACACACCGGCACCCCATGCACCCTCCACCCCCTCCCCCTTCAGACCCACCGTTGCTGTGCAGAAATGCTCTCCCACACTCCCCTCTCCCTTGACACCAGCCAATCCGTGCATACCGTGGCCCACCCTTCCTCCTCACCACCAGTCCTCACATGTGGCACTTGAGACGAAAAACCTCGGCTCCAGTCCCCTCCATGCGCAAATTCAAGATCTGCCATCACCGTCATTGAAAATAAAGCCGTTGGTCAAAAAAAAGAACTGGCTCCTAACTTTTTCAGCTGCCTCCTAGATTCAAAGCAAATTTGTCAAGCCCTGTATTGCACAGAGTACACCAATATGATAACTATACAAACAGATAATTTACTAATAATGTGTGCCACCTTCATCCAGTGTTAAATCATCAAAGGACAATGTGTAGACCAGTGGTCGGCAAGCCGCGGCTCGCGAGCCACATGCGGCTCTTTACCCACTCTAATGCGGCTCTTCTGTGTGCCGGGCGCCTGCTCCCCTCCCTCCTCTCGGTCGGCCCGCTCCCTCCCTCCTCTCGGTCGGCCGCTCCCCTGCCTCCTCTCGGTTGGCAGCCCCAAAAAGTCCGCGCGGACCTTTTAATGTGGCTGTCAGGATGTGTGTAGGCGGGGCAGCGTGCCGAACGTGAGGGGAGGGCTAGGCTCCTCTCACAGTCCGCCCTGAAGACCCGAACGGCGTGGGAAGACAGCGAGAGGAACGCAAAAGGTAAGTGAATTGACACGGGGGACTTGCCTTACTAGAAGGGGGGGGGGGAATAGTACTGTGGGGGATGAAATACTATATGAGGGATGAAATACTATATGAGGGATGAAATACTATATGGGGGGATGAAATACTATATGAGGGATGAAATACTATATGGGGGATGAATTACTATATGGGGGATGAAATACTATATGAGGGATGAAATACTATATGAGGGATGAATTACTATATGAGGGATGAAATACTATATGAGGGATGAAATACTATTATTATGAGGGATGAATTACTATATGAGGGATGAATTACTATATGAGGGATGAAATACTATATGAGGGGGATGAATTACTATATGGGGGATGAAATACTATATGGGGGATGAAATACTATATGGGGGATGAATTACTATATGGGGGATGAAATACTATATGGGGGATGAAATACTATATGGGGGAAAATACTATATGGGGGGATGAAATACTATATGAGGGATGAAATACTATATGGGGGGATGAAATACTATATGTGTAGACCTATGAAATACTATATGAGGGATGAATTACTATATGAGGGATGAATTACATATGAGGGATGAAATACTATATGAGGGATGAAATACTATATGAGGGATGAAATACTATATGAGGGATGAAATACTATATGAGGGATGAATTACTATATGAGGGATGAAATACTATATGAGGGGATGAATTACTATATGGGGGGATGAAATACTATATAAGGGATGAAATACTATATGGGGGGATGAAATACTATATGAGGGATGAAATACTATATGGGGGGATGAAATACTATATGAGGGATGAAATACTATATGGGGGGATGAAATACTATATGAGGGATGAAATACTATATGAGGGATGAATTACTATATGAGGGATGAAATACTATATGGGGGGATGAAATACTATATGGGGGGATGAAATACTATAGAGGGATGAAATACTATATGAGGGATGAATTACTATATGGGGGATGAAATACTATATGAGGGATGAAATACTATATGAGGGATGAAATACTATATGAGGGATGAAATACTATATGGGGGATGAAATACTATACGGGGGATGAAATACTATACGAGGGATGAAATACTATACGGGGGATGAATTGCTATGGGGGATGAATTACTATATGGGGGATGAATTACTATGGGGGATGAATTACTATATGGGGGATGAATTACTATATGGGGGATGAATTACTATGGGGGATGAATTACTATGGGGGATGAATTACGATGGGGGATGAATTACTATGGGGGATGAATTACACTATGGGGGATGAATTACTATATGGGGGATGAATTACTATGGGGGATGAATTACTATATGGGAGATGTATTTTCAGTTTTAAAAATGTGGCTCTCAAAATAAATTTCAATCATGGTTTTTTGGCTCAGTTGAAAAAAAAGGTTGCCCACCACTGGTGTAGACCTATGCAAACTACCAACATTAATGTGATAACAGACATACAAATATTTTAAAGCTCACCTTGCATGAAAATGCAAGGCCTGCTTTAATGACAGCCTCTCTCCTGGAAGCACAAGTGATATGACCATTTTTTTTTTATTTCTGCGTACTCACTACTTCTGCTGGAAATGTATTCCAAGCTTCAACTCTTTTGGGAAAATTTTACTTTCTAGGGTTAGTTTTGAACTTCACTCCTGCTAGTTTGAGGCCATGTCAATATGTTCTTGATCTTAGCTGTTCCCTTAATGTATTTAAATGTTTTATTCATATTTCCTCTTTCCCTTCTTTACTCAAGACTGTACATATTAATTTCCTGCTAAGAGCAGGTTAATCCCTCCAGTGGGGATATAGACAGCAATAAAAACTCAATAGAGTTATTATTATTATTATTATTATACAGTATTTATAAAGCGCCAATGGTTCGCTCAGCGCTGTACATCACAAAGGGGGACAGAACATGTGAAAGAACAATACCAATACAATGCAAAACATGAGGGGATCGAGGGCCCTGCTCTTTCGAGCTTACAATCTAGGAGATATTTAACCATCCCTACTGTATCCAGAACTAAAGAAAATGGTTGGTCTTTAACCGCTTCCCTACCGCCGTATAGCAGAACTACTGCTACAGGGCAGCAGGGCTGCGCAAAATCATGAATATATACAGTACATGATTTTGCATTTCCATTGGTGGCTACAGATTTTGATCACTGCATCCCGGACGGAGATTCCCCACCAACACCCGACGTAAATTGTGTAAACAATACAGGTCTCTCTCCTGCCAACAGTAGCATACTGCTGTGTATTTCTCTGCACAGCAGAGAAATACACAGCAGTATGTTTTCCTAGTAAAACACACACAGCACACAGTCAACCCTTTGTTCGCCCCCGATGTGAACCCCTTCCTGCCCAGTGTCATTAGTACAGTGTAAGTGTTTTTATTAGCACTGATCACTGTATTAGTGTCATTGGGATGTCAGTTGCAGTTAGTCAGTTCCCCTCCAGTGTCAGAATGCCCGCCGCATTCCCGCTATAAGTCGCTGATAGGTGCGCCATTATAAAAAAAAAAAATCCTTTATATATACCGCCATTTGTAGACACTATAACTTTCATGTAAACCAATTAATTTACACGTATCAGGATTTTTATTTTTTAGCAGAGACATGTAGCGGAATACATTTTGGCCTAAATTTATGAAGAAATGTGTTTTTTTTGTTTTTTTTTGTTTTGTTTTTTTTTTACTGGATATGTTTCATAGCAAAAAATCAAAAATATTGTGGGTTTTTTTTTTTCAGAATTGTCATTCTTTTTTTTTTTTTAATAGCGCAAAAAATAAAAACCCCAGTGGCGATTTGTGGGGCAAAAAAGGACATAATTTTATGTATAGCATTGCATGACCACACAATTGTCAGTTAAAGTAATGCAGCACCATATCGCAAAAAAAATGTCCTGGTCAGGAAGGGGGGTAAATCCTCTGGAGGGCAAGTGGTTAAATACAATTACACTTTAGGCTTGAAACCTACTATTGTGTTTTTTCGCTTGCCCAGACTAATTTTCAGCTTCAGTGCTGTTGCACTTTGAATGACAATTGCAATTGCCGGTATTTTTTTTTATCTTTTTTTTTCACACAAATAGAGCTTTCTGTTGGTGGTATTTAATCACCACTGGGGTTTTTATTTTTTTGCACTATAAACAAAAAAAGAGCAAAAAAATTAGAAAAAAAAGGTTTTCTTTGTTTTTATTATTAAGATTTTGTAAACAGGTTTCCTTCGCTGATGTGCGTTGGTGAGGTTGCACTGATAGGCAGCACTGATAGGCACTAATAGGCACTGATGAGGTGGAATGGATAGGCAGTACTGATGGGCACTGATAAGCTACACTGATGAGGCAGCACTGGTGGGCATTGATGAGGAGGCACTGATGATGCTGCACTGATATGCAGCACTGACTGGTGGCAGTGATGGACAGCATTGATGATCAGGGCACTGATTATCAGTGCTGATCTGCTCTGTGACATTTGCCAGTTATTAGCAGTACTTTCCTCACGGTGTGACAGAAGGGCCCACAAGTTCTCAATACGGTCTAGGTCAAGTGAGGAAGAGGACCATGTCATTGTTCTTTCATCTTTAAGGCCTTTACAGGCTAGCAATGCAGTACTTCGATGCATGCAATGGAGCATTGTCCTGTGTAAATATCTTTTTCCTGTAAGACTTTTTCCTGCACCACTGCTTGAAGAAAGTGTCTTCTAAAAACTAGCAGCAGGTTTGGGAGTTGATCTTGAGTCCATGTTCAACCTGGAAAGGTCCAACTAGCTCATCTTTAATAATACCAGCCCATGTCAGTACCCCACCTCCACCTTGCTGGCATCTGAATCGATGTGGAGTTCTGTGCACGTTACTGATCCAACCATGTGGACCCATCCATCTGGTACGTCAAGAGTCACTTTCATCTCATCAGTCCATAAAATCTTTGAAATATCTGTCTTCAGATATTTCTTGATGCAGTCTTGACTTCTCAAATTATGTGACTTTTCAGAGTCAGTTAAATCTTTTTTTTTTTTTTTTTTTTTTTTTTGCCCATTTTGCCTGAGGAAAAGAAGCTGCCTAATAATTATGCACACCTTGATATAGGGTTTGTCCCTCATTACACAAATACAAAATCACCTAATATGCTTAAATCCAATAAGCATTCAAGTTTATACAGCTTAGAGTTGGTCAATATGCAAAAAACTATGATATGGTCAAAATACTCACTTGCCTAATAATTGTGCACACAGTGTATACAAAATGGAGAACACTAATAGAGTAAAACAGGACTGCAAGGAGATGGATAGGGAAGGAGGCCAGAACTGGGATCAGGATTATGGGTGGCAGATATAATGTAGCAGAGCACAGAATACAGGTACTGGAAAAGAATCACAGAAGAAATGAGGATCACAGACAGGAGCAGCACATCAAACTCAGACAGACAGCACACAGGCAAAACACCGAGCCAGTGAAGGAAGTTAGGGAAAGGGTTATAAACCTTCCAGCAGCCAGCATCAGGTGGACACTGATTACTGAGATCAGCTGGCTACTGAAAGAAACCTGCTGGTGGCTACCGGAACTACACCCTTCCGCTCTGGGAACCACAGTGTCACTGGCAGGTGATCCAGGTCCTGACACCCCGGGACTTAAAGTGGAGGAGAATCCAACATTTTTGAAATTGCCATGTTTTGATTACTTTTTAATACCACTTTAAAACTGCACTATAGCCGAATGATGGCCTCCCAGAATGCGTCCCCGCACACCCAGCAGCATGCACCCAGCTGTCAGTGATCGCTGTGTCCTATGGACACAGCTGATCGCATGACTAGGTAAAAGGCCAATCAGAGCGGCCTTTTACCACGTGATCAGCTGTGTCCAATGACACAGCAGATCACAAAGTAAATACAGTTGCCGGTTGTTGGGGTAAACGGGAGATTTACTGTGAAGGAAAAAATACACCTCTCTGAACAGTGTCTGAGAGGCTGTGGTTGCTGCTGCACAAAATGTTGATCATCAACAGATCGAGCAACCGACAGACTCCATGAATGGAAGGCTTATGACTGTTATTAGAAAGAAGAGTGGCGCTATTGGTCACTGATTTTTTTATTTTATTTTTTTTTTTATGTCAGAAATATTTACTTGTAAATTTTAAGTTGTTTGTTTGTTATTATTCTCACTTTAACAGATGAAAATAAACAAGTGACATGGGAAAATTTTCATTTAGTTGTATAATAATTTTGCACACTAATAGTTGCCCAATAATTCTGCACACATAGATATTCTCCTAAGAAAGCCAAAACCTCACTTTTACTTTCTTAAATATTCAGGTTTGAGGTTTATTAATATTTTTGTTTGACCGAGAGCACTGTAGTAGTTCAACAATGAACTTATTCCTCAAAAATACAACTTGCCTAATAATTGTGCACACAGTGTATATTGTATTGTAGTTATGTTGCTAGTTAGGTATTCTGTCACATGGTTTATGGTTCATGTGTACCTTCACTTTTGTTGTGTATTTTGTGTGCTGGTGTTGGATGGATTTTGTTTCATTATTAATAAATCTTACTTTTATCATACACGCTGGTTTCAGTTGCCTAAGTACAGGTGCACTAAACTGGTCACTCCTGCTGTTGCTGGATACCTGCACTCGGTATCTTTTAATTTTTTCTTACAATAAAATAGGGAGTGCAGCGCTACAAAAAGTTATAAACAGGCTGAACCTATCTTCACCACTATCTTCACCACTATCTTCACCACTATCTTCACCACTATCTTCACCACTATCTTCACCACTATCTTCACCACTATCTTCACCACTATCTTCACCACTATCTTCACCACTATCTTCACCACTCACCTACTCACCAGAAGCACAATCTCAATGCGCATGTCAAGATCACATGGAGCCTGGGGTCCTGGGTGGATACTGCCTGGTAATGCAGTCCTCTAGTGGTCACTCAGTGGCGTGTGATAAGGATACCGATCTTGTCATAACGTACTTACTCTTCAAGTCTGCACAGATGCCTGGAATGCTGGGGCTGAGGTGTGGAGGGTCAGTGCCAGGTATAAAAAGTAAAGGTGCTCATAGTGTAGTATTATTGATTAAAAGGTTTATTGAATCCTCCTTGCACGCCTTGACGTCACGCCGCCGGATCAGGAGGTCCGGCAGCCACCATCTGATTCCACTGGTGAGTGCTTTTTAGGTGCTTTTATCATTATCTACAAGCAGCCTCCTACCACTACCCACAGTCATTGTCGTGTGTATATTCTGCTTCATTTGATTTAATAAACCTTTTAATCAATAATACTACACTATGAGCACCTTTACTTTTTATACCTGGCACTGAGCCTCCACACCTCAGCCCCAGCATTCCAGGCATCTGTGCAGACTTGAAGAGTAAGTATGTTATGACCAGACCGGTATCCTTATCACACGCCACTGAGTGACCACCAGAGGATTGCATTACCAGGCAGTATCCACCCAGGACCCCAGGCTACATGTGATCTTGACATGCGCATTGAGATTGCGCTTCTGGTGAGTAGGCAATCTATCTATATCTCCACATCAGGATACTGGGATCATACCGGCATTGATTGAAGTCACCCATAATTTTTGGACTATTCACCTTACATGATATTGCTTATTGGACATTCATTGCTATCTATTTATTTATGTGCTTAAGATAGGTTCAGCCTGTTTATAACTTTTTGTAGCACTGCACTCCCTATTTAATGATTCATACAGAAAGGTTTGTGGCTCCTTTTTAGTGCAATAGCCGCTTTTCAGAGTGCGCTCACTAACCTACATACAAACAATTTTTTCTTACGTTTGCTCATGCTTTCTTTTCTCTCTCTCTCAGAGAAACACGCCTGTATGGTTATTCGGAACTTGGTTTCACGTACCCGAGATTTTTCACAACCCATCTTGGAAATGGGAGCGGAGTCCTTAATTTTACAGGCTCGCAGCACTCACAAGGACTGTGATGATGTAGCTAAGGCAGCACTACGAGATCTTGGCTGTAAAGTAGAACTCCGAGAACTGTGGACTGGCCAGAAAGGCAACTTAGTGCACTAACCTCAGTACATTCTGTGCTCATGATAAACAAGCGCTGGCAGCTTATAAGGGCAGTTATGGCAAACTTTCAAGTCCTCGTATAAACAAACTACATTTGACCTCTGCTTAATAGCTTTTATTTATGTGTGTTTTTGCTGTTTTCCTATGTGCTACATCTTCTGATACTCTTGATGTTATCCCCCCTGCTTTCAGTATGAACTCTATTTACCAAACTTTAAATGTTATCCTCCCTGCTTTCAAGTATGAACTCTATTTACCAAACTTTAAAAACATATTTTGCCTTATCTGAATTTACCTGTTACAGACCAGTTAACATAGGCAGTATTAAACCTGCTATAAACATTTGCCTTTTAAAGTGGGAAGTTAGTACTTGAAATTAAAAGACACATCAAATACAGCCATGTGGTATTTCTAAGAATAGAGAATGATTATTTTAATTCAGTTGCATAATACCATTTTAAACATTTAACAAATATGTTTCATTAGGTTATGTAAATCTGAAATTCACCAGTATAGTAGTTTTTTTTTTTTTCTGTAAATTCTATATTATTATTTTTACTGTCAGTAAACCAAACCAGTTAAAGTTCTGCAGCATAGTTAAAAGTTTGGCTGTACTTCTGTGGATTACAGGAGTGCAGTTCATTCTTATCTCTTGTGATCTGTTTTCATCTTTAGCCCGCTGTGGGCTGACGTCACAAAGCCAGTCCAGATTGAGGAAAGATCACAACCATATTATCGGGATCCACCCGGCAGCCTGGACTGGCACCTGGCTCAGCCTGACAGTCACCGCTCTCTTCTCAGAGCGGCGGGGAGAACAGAGCGATCACCTGTGTCTGATCGCTCAGTTCTCAGCCTTAGAGTTATTGGGGGACAGATGTAGCTTTGGATCGATGCTGCATCCACCTAGGTAAGTATGATTAAAAAAAATCTTTTAAATTCCAACAGAAAGCAAAAGTTCTCTTGTCCATGCAGTTTGCTAAATTTGAAAATGTAAAACCACTTAGGGTGTTGGCACATGAAATGCTGAGAACTGCATAAGGGTCAAATAGTAAATATTCAGCTATGTGGAATGTATTCTGCGACATAAACGCAAAAATTGCTCAAACCACTTACAAAAGAACCCTATAGAATTTAAAAGTGAGTGGGGGAAGGGAGCGCTCAAAACATCTACCCTGTGTGGGCTAGGGGGTGGATCATCAGTGATAGGGATTAGTAAAAGATTCATGTGGAGATCATGACCAAGTCCATCTTTAATGGGGGGCTTGTAGTTGTGTGGACTTGTCAGAGGAGGCAGCCAGCTGTAAGAACTTGTAGATGCTCCTGGATGCAGGTAGAGAAGAGAGACGGCAGCACCACTCTGAGTGGTTAAAATCAAGCAGATTTTATGGTAAAAATGCACTCACATAGGCAGGTACCAAGTAGGCATGTCAAGTTATGGAGGTCCGGTGGAGCATCAGGTCCTTTACTGCACTCTGGGTGTTACCCCGCTGCTCTGGAGGTGTCAAGGGCTCAGGGAGTTGCAGAGGGGCGCAGGGAGGCTCACAGGGATGGCTTCACCGTAGGGACTGGGTTTCCAAGAACCGCCGTAGCAGAAAGCATCATCAACCAATTTGCCTTCTTTAATAAAGACTACCATTCCACGCCATACTTCTACCATCTTCCTAAGATACACAAAGCCTCACTAATCTGCCTGGTCACCCCATAGTGGCTTCCATGGATAGCATAACCAGCCACTTTTCCATATACATTGACCAATTCCTCTAACCATTGGCCCAAAACCTTCCAGCCCATATCCGTGACAGTATTCATCTCTTAGACAACCTTCAACATTATTCATGGGAACCCTCCTATCTCTGGCTCTCCCTAGATGTCACATCCTTATATACTTCCATCCCCCACCAAGTGGGACTCCCAGCCCAACATTTCCTGTCAGCGGACCCCACACTGAACCACAAACAGGCCATTTCATCCTGGATGCCACACACTTCTGCTTATCTCACAACTACCAGTTTGATGGCTACTACTATCTTCAGATACAAGGCACAGCCATGGGAGCCAATTTTGCTCCCAGTTACGCAAGCCTCACCATGGGCCTTTGGGAGCACCAATCCATTTGGAATCACAACCCCTACACCAAACGCCTCATCTATTTCGGTCGTTATATAGATGACATTGTCATCATCATCTGGGACGGCACACAAGATAAAGCGAACACCCCAACACCCTAGCATTCTTAGACCTAGAACTCTGCCACACCAATACTTCCATCTATGCCAAAAAGTACACCAAACCTATGGCCGGCAACTAATTTTTACACTTTCGGAGTTGCCATCACCCCAGATGGATAAGTAATATCCCAAAAAGCCAGTTCTGCAGGCTCAAACACAATTGCACACGTGAGGAGGACTATACTGCTCAGGGTGACCAGCTCAAACTCAAATTTCTGGAAAAAGGCTACCCTGAACCACTGGTCCAAAAAGCATTTTCTCTCTATTTATCCACCCCTCCAGCCAAACACACTCCACCCAATGCAAACCACCCCAACTCCAGACCTCTACGCTTCATCACACAGTTCCACACCCACCACCGCAAAATGGAAACTTTGGAGTATCTTTATTGAGGACCCACACCTCAAAACTTCCATCCTGCAGACTCCAAAATTCTCCTACAGGCGGGCTAAGAACATTAAAAGCAAACTAGCCCCCAGCAAACTTAAAACCACCAAAAAAAACCACCAACCCTATACCCACCTTCCTATCCATCAAAGGCATGTACCAATGCAAAAAACCCAAATGCCTAACCTGCAAATACGTCCTACATGGATAGAAACAATTCTCTACCCAAGGTAAAACCTACCACTTTTACAATTGTTCCTCCGAATTCCTTATCTACTGTATATCCTGTCCTTGTGAACTTCTGTACGTTGGTTGCACCATCCGCACACTTTGCCAAAGATTCGGTGAGTACAGACGCTCAGTAGACGATGGCAAAAATAAACTTGGCATCCCCAGACATTTTTTGGAATTTCACTCCCAATCCTCAGACCACATGAGAGTATGGGTTATAGAAACCATCCCCAGAGGCCTCTCCCAAGCAGAGAGCTTGAAAAACCTCTGCCAAAGAGAGACCTTCTGGATATATACCCTCAATACACTGACACCTGGTGGTCTCAATGAGGAATTGGAACTATCCACTATACCAGGGGTTTGCAACTGTGGCCCTCCAGCTGTTGTAGAACTACAAGTCCCATGAGGCATTGCAAAACTGACAGTTACAAGCATGACTCCCAAAGGCAGAGGCATGATGGGACTTGTAGTTCACCAACAGCTGGAGGGCCACAGTTGCTTACCCCTGCACTATACTATAATCCATTCCCGACTTCCCTTCCCCCACCTGTTTGTCTTTCCATTCATCCTATATATCAGCCTATACCCACAGGCCGATACTGATTTCCCCAATCCCCACACATCCCCCATACTCCACTCTTTCTTTTTCTGTTTCTACACGTTTGCCACACCAAGGCATTCTCCGTATCCATCCCATCACCTCTTGCCATTCTCTTTCTATTTTCATAATCATTTTTATCTTTATTTTTATTTTGAATTTTTATAACCATTTTTTATTTTTAAAGTCTTATATTTATTTCCATTTTTACCTGTGTTTTCATATACTTTTTTTTTTCTTTTAATATATATATATAATGTTTTTATATATTCTTCATTTGTTTTTCCACCTCCCAGTTTTTTATTATTGCCCATCATCATTATTGCCTATCTCTATAGTCTCATCATACTTGTTTTTTTTTTAATTCTCCAAGGTCTCCTTTATCTTTCCTCAACTGCCCCCTAGCCACCAGTTTCAGTTGTGAGTATTACTGGCATATCCTGTTATGTGTATATATTTTCGTCCTCTAAAGCATGTCATTTAGCCCTGTAATTCTCTGAATCCGGCTCTGTTAGTGTTAATCACAGCATCTCCGCTTGCCTTGAGGCTTAATTGACTGGACAGCCCGGCCCACCTCATTTTCCCATGTTAGCCCACACTAAGATGGATTGGCCTGACAAAGGAGCACGCATGCTCCGAACGCACGTCATCTTGGAAACCCGTTCCATGCGGTCACGCCGTCCCTGTACACTCTCAGCGCCCCTTTGCAACCCCCCAGAGCCCTGGGCACCCCCGGAGCGGCGGGGTAACACCCAGAATGTGGTAAAGGACCTGATTCTCCACCAGACCTCCATAACCTGACATGCCTACTTGTTACCTGCCTATGTATGTGCATTTTTACCATTAAATCTGCTTGATTTTAACCTTCTACACTGAGTGGTGCTGCTGTCTCTCTTCTCTATAGAATATAAAGGTTTTTCAAAAAAATGCACACAAATTTGAAGGTAAAAAAAAATGTTCATTTATAATTTTTTTTTTTTGTGCAGTGTTAGGCTCCTGTACAATCTTCCTCTAGCTTTGTGCCCATATCCCTATACCAGCTTTCTGTTACAAACTGCAAGTTAGGCTGGCCATACATTATACAATTATCTGCAGATTTTTGGTTTAGATTTACCAAAAACCATATAATAGGAGGACAAACCTAAACAACACTTTCAGTTGTATCCAATTAGGCAGGCCCTTGCACTACATAGTTGAAGGTAAATCTAAAGGAAATTAGGCAGAAAATCTGCAGATAATTGTATAATGTATGGCCAGCCTAAGTCTGCTGCGGTGAAAGTTGGTACTTGTAGTTTTTTCATTCACAGAACTCTGTGAATGAATGACGCAGCTGTGTGGGTGGAACACCGCATTGTTTTCAAAAAGTGGCAGCGGGTGCAAGGAGAGTATATCCTGCCTTCTGTCACAGAGAGGAGAGCTCTGGCATATTAAAAGTAATTATTTTTATGGGGACATATACTACAATTACTTACAGGATAAGTTCACAACTCTGCTGGTTGGAGGAGGGTGCATGGGATCATGTAACATGTTACACCCATATTTGGGGTGTAATATGC